GTGTCCTTGATGTTTTGTTTCTTTGATTTCGTTTCTTCTTATGCCATCAAAGTGCGGTTTTGTCTTCCCTTCAGCAGAAGAGTTCCTCACGCCCCCTGCAACCTCATATCCCCGACCTACTCATCCATACCTCACAGTTTTGCCCTCCGCTTTACACTTTTTTCTCTTCATACTTAGATCCCTTTACATGGAAGATTGAATGATGGGGTACATGGGAATTGACATTTTATTATGACTAAGTAGCTTAAAATGATTCAATCAGGAGTCAGAATGTCAGTGGACATACCACTGAAAATTAAGACATTAAAGAATAGGGGGTGGATGGGCCTCCCCAGTGGCGCAGAGGTTGAGCACTGGGTTGGAGGCTGCCCGCAGCCTCTGCAGCGCCGGTTTGATCCCCGGCTGCTCCCCGGCCACCGGAGGAGGGTCCCACATGGCGTGCAGACCTCTCCTGCCGCCCGCTGCTCCCCTCAGCAGTGTCCTTCGGTCCTTCTGCCTGTTCTGCTCCCCGCTCTGGCTCTGGTGAATTCTCTCACCCTCCCGCGCTTCTGATTGTACCCAGTGCTTGTATAAATAAATAAATAAAATCTTTAAAAAAAAAAGAATAGGGGGTGGAGAATAGCCATTTTAACTTTGCTCACGACTATTTGAGGGGTGCGTTGTTAATTAATAATTGAAGGTTAGCAAAAATTACATTTAGTAAGCTCCAACACCCAAAATAACACAAATTATGTGAAGATTAGAGACAGAAGAAAAATATATCATGTAAAATAAGTGTTTGGCTCAATAACTTTGTGTATCTTGTAATTTATTGAAGGGAAAATATAACTATAGATGCCATAAAGTGATGTCACCTAGTGATTATTTTCATGTAAAAAAAGTTTACTGTTCTGTGGGTCTTCTCCACTGCATTAAATATATTTTTGTGTCAATTAAATAATTTTGTGTCAACTAAATAACTTCATCTGAAGATGAAGATGAAGAAACTTAATGTAAAGTCAGAAATCATTTGCTCTCTAATATCAAATTGAAAACCATGATTTTCATATAGGTCAGTGGGAAATATGGATGACTACCTAAATTCTTTTAAAGATACACCTATCATTTAAAAAGCAAAAATCAGAGGCCTACTGGAGATCACCACCACAAAAACAAGTAGAGATTATAAAACCCCATGTAGAAGAATGAATATGAAAGAAATTGAAATATTAAAATAAGGTTTGTTTTATTTATAAAATTCACATTTGGTAAAGATGGCCATTAGCTCAATATATGAGTGAGGAATATAGACATTAAACACATTCTGGTCTCTATAATTTTAATGTAATATGTGGTTAATTCAGAATAATTCTTGTGAACCCAGGAATCAACTTAAAAATCAAAACAGTACAATGATAATAATTTTGAAATTACTGCAATCTCCTCCATCCACCTGCTTCCCACCCAAGAGGGATCCAGCAGCCTGAAGTGTGAGCTTATCAGGTGATTTTTTTTAAAAACAAAATTATTTCCTGACATGTGGATATATCTTTTAAAATAAATTCTTAATTTTGCTTGATATTTGGACATTACTAAAAAATTATAGTTAATGTACTCATTGTAGCTTTTTTGTTCCTTCAACCTTTGTTTCTTGGAGTTTGTCCATGATGTCAAAGTTGTTCTAGTGTGAATAAATAGTAAGCTAATGTATAAATACAAAAAGTACAAAAAGCACATTCTTCTGTTAGGGAGATTAGATTATTACCCGTTTTTTTTTTCCCTTATTAAAATTAATTTGGACTTCCAATACCATGGAAGAGCATGTGATGCATGTTAAAATAATTGATATCACACTAGACTTTGCCTCTAAAGAATGAAAATCATGAACAAAATTTAAGGGACAATTCTTTACATTTATTTGATAACGGAGCAGAAATGTAGTCCCTCAGAGAATGAAAAGTAACAGGGTAACTTGCTCATCATTCCAGCTTTCTGCCAGGAAACATTTGCCTCCCCTGATCTCTGTGTGATGAGCCTAAGGACACAATAGTCTCAGTAAGATGAACAAGGCAGAAGGGCTAAGGGAACCCCATGTACGGGGAGGAATAACAGACAGGAGAATAGTAGAGAGAATGACCTCCTGAAACCTGCACTGGGGTCTCCTTGAGCATATGACCACTGAGTGGGCTCTGTGTGTGTTGGGTGAGATTTCATACCCTTAGAAGGACTACTAGGGAAAAAAAATCAGGAGCTAAAAAAATAATAATATTGTATACACAAGGTCAAGAGCAATTCAAACTCCAACCAACCAGAGTGGTAAAACCTTGTTCAATAAATAGGCCATTCAACAAAGACCTTATGAAAGGACAAGGCCTTAGGAGTAGTGTTGATCTAGATTACAGTCAAGCCTCAGAGGGATTGAACTGAACTACAAGTAAATTAGCTGCATATCAGAACAAAATATTAAAAAAAAACTAATTGGTAGAAAATAAATCTTTTGTTTTTTTTTTTCCTTTCATCACTTCTGTCCAATTTTTAAAGGGCTCTTAGTAAAGTAAGAGACAAAACAAAATAAATTGACTTAGAGATGAACAGGGAAGAAGAAAAACTGTCTCTGCAGATGCCATAGACAGTGCGTGTGAGCTATTTTATGGACTCTACCAAAATTAATGTTATATTTAGGAATAAACTAAACAAAATATGCATAAGACCTATACACCAAAGATCACATAACACTACTGAGAAAATGAGCCAATATCTAAATAAATCAGGATATTCTGCACGAAGATGCAGTGACGTTCATTTGTCTAATCCCCTTGAACTGATGAATGAAGTTAATATAATCCAGTCAAAACTGAAGGAGACTTATTTTTAAAGGAATTAGCAAGTTACTTCTACAATTTACATTAAAATTCAAAGAACATAGATCATAGAATAAACAAAAAGATTTGTACACTTAATTTCAAAATTTTCTCTGAAAATAGCAATAAAAAGGTGAGGAATTGAGATGACAGGCTAAAAGATTAATGGACAGAAGGCAGTTCAGAAATAGACCCACATTTCTAAGGCCAATTAGTTTGTCATAAAAATGGCAAATAAGTCAAAGGGCTAGAGTAATATTTGGAACAAATAGTGCAGTAACATGTCGATATTCATCTTCAGTAAAATTGAAAAGACTGACAATATTTTCAAGGATATATTTTCAAGGATGTAGAACAGCTGGAAATTTCATACATTGTTGGTAGAAATATGAAGTTAGATTATAAATTAGTCTCGCAGTTTCTGCTAGTCAAACATTTTTTTCTTATCATATAACTCAGAGATTCTACTTCAAATTATTTACCCAGGAGAAGTAAAAACTTGTGTCCACAAAATCTTGCACCTGTATATTCAATTATATTCAAAGAAATTTTGGCTATAATAGCTAAAAGCTAAAAGCCTACGTTCAACAATAGGTCAACATACGCTTAGATAAAGACATCGTAGCTTATTTGAGTATCATGCTACTGCTCAACAATTCATGAGCTGTCGCTCCCACACAACATAGATGAGTCTTACAAATCTCATGCTGAGAGAAAGAAGCCAAATTAAAAGAGTATGATTCAATGTATATGACAGTCCATAAAAGGACAGAATACTCTTAAATCAAAGAAGTCAGATCACCTGGGCATTAGGGAACTCTCTGAGGTTAAAAAAAAAAAAAAAAGAAAGCATTATCCTAATCAAGATGATGGTTCTGTAGGCATGTATGTTCGTCAAGACTCTTAGAGTATGCACTGAAAGTGGTTTCATTTTACTTTATCTAAGTCATGTCTCCAAGGAGAGTTTATTTTAAAATATTTTTATAAAAATCTTAGTCCCATACATACACAAACCAGTATACTAATAACCTACTATCTGACCTTTGGATGCATACCCTAAAATTTTTAAATTTCAGGAGGCGGGGCCTCTATGGTGTATGGTAGAGAACTCTGGGTAGAGAACTCTTGGTGGCGGACACGGTCTGATAGCATACGTCTGAAGAGGTGTGAAGTTATTTCCCTAAATCATATACAGTGTTGAAAACAAATATTACTAAAAAGTAAATAATTTCTTTTAAATCACAAGTCCGTTCTGGCACATATTAAAAGAACGATACGAGATGCCAAAGTCAGGGTTCCAAAATGTAAATTTCAGTCTTCCCGATGTTGTTTGGATGTAAACAAACATGCAAAAGGTGCCAACTCTTTGATCCAGCAATTTTCAATTCATTCCAAGGGAACATTCAGAAAATCAAAAGCATACAAGGGTGTTTATCCTGTCGTTGTTTGTAACAGTGAACATCGCTGTCACTCCTATTAGATAATTAGTGGGAAAATAGCCTGCGGTTGCAGTGGTGATGCCTGGTAGATTGTTATAAGCGATGCAAGAAGGACACAGAACACTTTGTCATTTAAAAGAAAAAAAAAATCCTAGCAGACCACACAAATAAGGAAAGACTGCTGAGGAGGAGGCATTTAGGACAGGTCTCGAAGGATTAGCAGGATTTTAACAGATATGATTGGAAACACGGGGAAATGTGTTTCTGGGTCAGGGGCTATGAAAGGAAGTAGTGAGAAAGCAAATAGAAAAAGTAGATGGGATCGGAGCGTCAAGTGCATTAACCATAGATAATAATGAATAAATCAGTGGAACAGAGCTGATACTCTTGAAACACACTCGAGTATGCAAGCACCAATTATGACAAAGACAGCCTCCCCAATACTGTGGGGAGAGGAGAAAAAATAAAGTGTAATGTGTTAAAATGTGTAACAGACCGCCTCTCGATTGCTTTCCTGAAATACGAGAAAGAATCTGCCTTCCCTGGAATCTACTTACCAGGCAATCCTCATGGAAAGGGAGTCTGTCAACCCGTGCCTGGGCCTTAATTGTGATTACTCTTTATTGCACTCAGCCTATTAAGTGCTTAAATTACCACATACCAGAATCGATGTCCCTAATAGTGGAAAGCGTATTAATGATATTTTTGCTCTCCTCTGTAGTCCAGTTCCAACCATCACATGGCTGAAGGTGAACGGCTACATCCCTAGCAAGGCACGTCTGCGGAAGTCTCAGGCAGTGCTGGAAATACCCAACGTGCAGCTGGATGACACAGGCATTTACGAATGCAGAGCAGAAAACACACGTGGAAAAAACTCCTTTCGGGGACTACTGCAAGTGTACAGTAAGTGTCCTCAACCAGCGCTGTGCCCCTGTCCTAAAGATCAAAGAGAAGATGCAAATTAATTTCCACTAAATATCGTTTGTTAAGTGCATAGAAAGCTAACGATAGATAATTCATCATCTTACTTCTTTTGCATGGTAAAGCATCGTGTAAAATTAGCCTATGCACAGAAATGCTTTAAATTAAACATGAATGGGATATTATCAGGCTCTTTGGACAGTGCAGAGAGTTGATAGCCTTAAAAATGAGGTCATTCCCTAGCACCAAAGCCATTCTCTGAAAAGTTAAAAATCTTGTGACTTTATTAACTTCTTACTCCCCTTCGCCTGAATCAGGAATCACAGTGTATTACTCATGAGCCAGCTCCCACCCAGCTGTCTTTTTTGGTCAATACAATTTTACTGGCACATCGCCACGCCCATTTGTTTACATATGGTCTTTGTCAGCTTTTTGCATTGCTGGGGCAGAATTAAGTTACCTGAGACAAGAGACCAGCTGACTTGCAAAGCTTAAAATATTTGCTCTGTGCTCTACAGAAAAATTTGCTGACCGCTGGCCTAAATTAATGTATCTGTATGGCAAGTAACCTTTCCAGCCTGCAGGTGTTTATATTGCCTCAAATGCCAAAAGCCCCGGAGGTTGTATGTAAATATTCAGAACGTCGACTACTTCAGAAATAGCTACCATTTCATTGTTGCTTCTGAGGATCCCAGATGTGTCTGATTTTCATATTTGCTTTTGTCACCTACATTATAAACAATGATAAGTGATAGTTTTCTTATCTCCCAGTACAGTCTTATGTTTCTGGATGCTAGTCATCCAGAGCATGGATGGAAGCAACTGCTGTTGCTTTCCTATGAACCTTTCCAAATCACAGATTCAACGGATCCCACCAAGCCACTATGTGACTGTATCTCCTGCTCGGTTCCGAAGAGCATATGGACCCTTACAGAGTATTTTTGAAATATTACTATCTGAATTCAACCCGCTTTTCTTTCTTTATCTCTAATAACTCCTTTAGGAATTCAGCACTTCAGCCAAATTGACCATGCCAGGCACATTCGATTCATTCATTTACTGATTCAGTTAATGTGCATTAAGCGCCTATTACTGCTCTGCTGGCTGGCAGGAGAGCTTGGCGGGCACTCGTGGTCAGCTGGTGGCCAGGGCCAGCCCCAAGAGCTAAGCTGTGATGCGGGCAGGAGCAGAGGCCTGTGGGAGGCTGAGCTCCGCGTTACAGTGAAAGCTTTACATAGAATGCGCCCGTGACATCTGGACGGGGAGCGCATCCTGGAAGGGAGGGGCCAGAGTCACTTGAAAATTTGTAAGATGGAAACACTAGCACCAGTTTGGTGTTTTATAGGCCATGAATATAATATTTGAATCCAATGCCCAAAGCCAACTGCTCAATCTCTTATGCCATGTAGCTCACACTCTTGCCTTAGGAAAAAGTGGTTGTTTTTGTGCCACTGTGAGTGGGAATTAACACTCGAGCACAAGTACATGATATCGGGTTATCCTCATGGTCATAATGTGAAGTGTTGGGCCTCCCTGGCAACACAGAAGGTAAGTCTCATTGCTATAAAGCTATCAGCAGCCACTGCAGCCTGAGTTCGATCCCTGGCCAGTGAGCTACACTCATGGAACAGCAGACCTCTCCTGTCTCCCTGCTGCTCCCCTCAGCAGGGTGCTTCAGTCAATCTGCCTGTTCTGCTCCCCACTCTGTCTCTGGTGAATCCTCTCACCCCCGCACCTCTGGCCTGTACCCCTGCTCTTGTCTGCATAAATTTAGAAAATATATAATAATGTAAAATGTTATATTCCCTCTTTACAGATAAATACCTGATACTGAGAGAGACAATGTTCACAGAACTTGGCTACTAAAACCACACACACACACACACACACACACACACACACAAAATGCCAGGAATGCCTGTCACTCTTCAGGCCATTATACAGTCTCTGTGTGGTGAGAATGGCCCACACCTAAGAAAGAGGCAGATTACATGGTCTGAGGCAGAGACCCCACAGCACTGACCCACTTGCCACTCTCCACACCCAGCGACACAATTCACAGGCAGTAGCAACGTGGTCCGGAAATTAGACAACAGTTGCTTTCACACAATGTTCCTGGCGCCTTGTGCTGAGAAGGCCTGAAGCACTCTGAGGGCCCTCGTCACGCACAGCTGGGTGTGCGCCCCGGGCAGCTGGGTGAGGACAAAGCTGCCCCAAACACCCCTTGCTGTGCATTGAAAATCATCGTGACTGTCGTCCAGAAAGGAAACTGGGCCGGCTAGCTCCGTGGCGCGTGTTTCTTAAAGTCTGGGGAGGTCTTCAGAAGAAAGTGTCCTTTTCATGGTAGCCCTGATTTAGGGTTTTTTCCTGATTTGTCCTGACTAGCCCCAGTTTGAGTCTGGCACACTGAGATGATTATAAACCGTGGCTCCCTTCACTCCCAGAAGTGTGCTGTTTCTTACAAATGCATCCAATTTTTGACACTTAAAACTGTTGTGTTTGACATGAGGTCTTTGCTACCTGCCCTAAAATGTCGAAAGAGTCTCAGCTTCCATTTCTGTCTGACTGGCATAAATACAGGGTAGCGTCATGCATGAATATTCCACTGTATCCAGGGCATGTATTTAGAATCTTCTCTCAGTCGAATGGACTGTGTTGGTCGCTCAGTGACCTGAGCTTCACCTGCTGGAGAAAGTAGAAGCTGACCTTTTTAATCCCAATGGTCAGTGTTTGCAGAGTACTGCAACCCGGGTCTTTCGGTGACTCATCTTCTTCTGGAAACAGTAGTTATGGCAAAGGTGTACATGCTAAGTTAGAGACTCAAAAGGTGACTCTAAGGCAACCTTTCTAGTTTCATGTTTTTTGTCAAATCATTACAAAATGAATATTCTTACAAACGTTAGTGGCTTCCAATAACTGCAATTTGATTACAGGCATATTCAAGATAAAGACTTTTTTAATTGTGCTATGCTTCCTATTTTTTTTTTCCCAAACTGAAGTTTATGCACGGATTTTTAGTCTTTGCCATTCATTCTAATTTCCTATTTCTTTTCTCAAAGTTGTATTTATATTAGGAAAGATTTTAAAGATACTTTAACTATTAAAATACAGTAAAGATTTACTAAAGAATATAATATAAAATTATAGATTCCTAATTGATAATTTTCTACATAGAGAAAAATTTTTCAGTGTTATTTCCTTGGAGAAAATTTCTCAGATTCAGTGGTTAAGAAAATGGTGCCAGATACATAAATATAGGTGTGAGAGAGAGATCATAATTGTTAAATATGACATTCAAGTAATGCATGAGCAATGGATTTAGGGGGGCATAATATTTATTAAGTATAAGTATTAAGTATAATATATAAGTGTTAATATTAAGTATAATATTTATTGTAATTAATCATCCTAGTAGTCTAAAGGAATTAGCATCTAAAACTCACAGATGAGACTCACTATGTAGCTCAGTCCTGAACACTTATTAGACCAAGGGCAAGGTAGCACTGGGATTGAAGTACACACCCCCAGCTTTATGATTTTTCTAATAACCCATGTTCCCTCCCAGTGGTCCACAAATTAGAGTCTTGACATTGAAAATGATCTATGGGGATAAAATATGTTGACTGTTCGATACTTCCCAGTACAGGAGCAATGAAGAAGGCCTATAACAACTCACATTTATCAGTCATTTGCAAAATTTCTAATGATGAGAGATAATAATCAAGTGTTTCTTTAGTACATCTGCTTAATATTTTAACAATATAACCTAGAGATCTAACTCAGAAGCTCAAGTGTCTCCCCTATGTAGTTGGGGATATATATCTGCTGAGAGCAGAGCTGTTTCTGGGCTTACATGCTAGAAGCCTCTTCAGTTTTCCACACCCTAAAATAGGTGGCCTGACAAAGTTTAGATAATAAAATCTACTAGCTATTTTTTTTTTTACATATGGAGAGCAATGTAGTAGGCCATTTTTATTTGCAGAATTGTTGTTAAAGGAATTTGAATATTTCAGTATTTCAATTACATATCTGTCACACCCACCAGAGATTAAGCTGACAGCAAACACATTGCAGTATGTTTATCTTTGTATTCTCATTGCTAAGCGGTGACAATTATAGTGCCCAACAAATATTTGAAGAAAGAGCAGCAAGAATAATTCATTTTAATTTCATTGATAACTTGATTCCTATGACAAATTCATTCTGGAACCGAGACTCTAATTAGGTTCTTTTATAGATAACCCAAATTATGTTTGGAGAAACATTACTTCATTTTCCAAATTGTTTTCCAGGTGACACAACCTCTTTTTGTTTTAATAGATCTTTCTTTCCTACTTTTTCATTTTAGTGACTTTAAAATTTATCTTCAATTTGTTTTTAACTCCCACAAACTGCACATCCCAGCACTGGCTGTGATACATTAAGAAACATGCAGATAGAACCAGCCAATATTTTCAGATCAACATAACATGCTGTTCATGTTTCACCTAAAGCTAATGTAGCTGTTGTGTCAGATTTGCTTCTCTGATCGCCTGTCTCACTGGCGCGTGAAGCCATAGCCAATTAAAAATTTCAGTGGCAGTCTAATTCAGCATCACAGGGAGGAACAAGCTACTGCATGTGTCTTCCAAGTGATTAAGAACTATGTGTCCAGAAAGGTGCAAATGACTCCCCTTTGAGGTTGGATTAATAAACCTTATGTAATTTAGACTACACCTTGACGTACAAGAACTAAGAGAAACAGAGAAGCAGAATATTCCGAATGAGTGAACAATTTGGAGGAGACGCAGTACAGGCTTGGGAGTCAGCAAACCCTCTGGCTTGAATTACAGGGACCTTGAACGGGTTGAGGTGATCTGGCAGTGGAGAGTAGGCAGCCGAAGCCCAATGCAATGTGCAAGTCAAGTATCATATTGCTCTTAAATATCACCAATTCTTATCAGTAGCTTTTGAATATATGACTTCTAATTAAAAAGACACTGAATTCAGGAGCCAGGCACAACACTCAGGATCACTGTGTGAAGATCACCATTGTAAGATTTTTGAATGACTACCTAGAGGCTTAGAAGTGAATGGACAGAATGTATGCAAATGTATGCAAATCCCAATTATACCTTGGTCAGGCTGCTTAAAGACCAGACTGCATTGCCTGGAAGACAATGAGTTCCTAAAAACAAAATTCGCATTTAGCAACAGTAGAACATGCAACATCCTAAAAACAAAATTCGCATTTAGCAACAGTAGAACATGCAGCACGCTACGAATAATGCAAATGCGATCAATTTTTTTTTTTTTTTGATCTGTCTGAGCAGAGTGGGACAGAGCCTCCTTACAGTGAAAGATACCTGGTTTTGAAAGTCATCTCTAGCTCTTAGATTGTGTGACACTGGGTATATTCCCTGAACCTCTCTGAGGCAATGTTTTCTGATTCATAAAATGAAAAGTGTTTCCTTTGGCTCGATGTTACAAGGATTCATTGATGATTCAGCTTGGTGTCAAAGACAAGCAATTCAGAAATGGGAGTTCTTTCTTGCTTTTTCTCCAGGCTTCTTAACTGGCTTAGCTCTGGGACATCTGTGAACCCAGAGAGTGAGGCTCTGATGTTCATGGGCTATTTTCATGTAGCACATCTTTTCTCTTCTTACCCTTAGTAAGACTTAGACCTCTTCTACCACAGCACAAACTTCTTAGCTATAGGACTTAGGTGTTGCTGTATCCCAGTGAGCAAAGACTAAATAGTATGAAATGAATGAATGAATGATCAAAGTCTTCGTACACGAAGCAGAAGCAAACTGTTTTATAGTTCTGTGCCCAAATTGTTGCCAGAGGGGTACAATCAGTTTAGTTCAGATTTCTTTTAATATTCACTTCAACTGTTTCAAACAGTATTTGTGGACAAAGAGTCACTCGTTTTCAAGTTTTTTATTTTACCAATCAGTCAATGAAAAACAGACACTTTAACCTGCATCTTAATAGATTTTGTGCAATTACAATATAAGGTCTCTCAATAAAGCAATTTTTCTCTTGTAATTTTGAAATATCTTCTAAAGATATATTTGAAAAGTACCAGCTAATATAGAAAAAATTCACACCAAGTAAAATTTGAACATACAAATTATTTTTCCAAAGTCATTCATCTTACATTGGGAGAAAACAGCAGAGCAGTTATTCAATAAGTGGGCATATTGTATTACTTCAACCTGTGCTAACACTGCCCCAATGCTTTGAAAAAGCAATGCCTCTTAAATCTATGAGCTCTTTAACAAGATCTCTTGCCTTGGGGAGAAACTAACCACTTGTGAACAGTGGGTAAAAAAAAAAAAATAGGGTTTACTTAGTTCACAAAGGTGTTTTCAATTACAAAAATAGTTTTACTGATTATTTTTTTACATAGAAAATAGTGTTTTATGTAACGCAGCCCCACACTGCTTCCAAATCCGACAGTTATATGAATGATTAAAAAAAAAAAATACACTGACTGTTTCTGTGTGATGTTGGAACTTGGTAAAGAGAAATTAAATCACCCTTCCTCGATGCTTAACTCCCTCCAGCTTACCCGCACTGGGTGGAGAAGCTGAACGACACTCAGCTGGACAGCGGGAGTCCTCTCCGCTGGGAATGTAAAGCTACGGGGAAACCCAGACCCACCTACCGTTGGCTGAAAAATGGAGGCCCCCTCTTGCCTCAGGTACTGTGGGAATTCTCCACCTGTTCTGTGTCACCACAGAAGAATTCCACGGGGGACAGACACTTCTCTTCCGTCTTACTGAAGCCTTTTCTTACTGACGCCTCATAATGTAATGGAGTGAGAAAGGAAGCAAACATACGATCCAAATTTTCTTTTTATTTAATTCATTACCTTTTCAGTAATATATTGTTTCTTTATGTTCAATCCTATAAATTCATAGGAAAACATCAGTGTTTTTTGCCAGCTCACTGCTATTTCTAGCTGACTTTGGGATATAATCTGGCTTGTGGTGTCACTTCGTGATAACAATGAACCCTCAGAAGTGAAGTGACTGGTCCAAGGTCACATATGTGTCAAAAGGTGAAGCAGAAATGGAATTCCGACCTCTCCCCTTCTGGGCAGAGTCCTGTGTGTGACAGCCCGCTGGCCATGGACATGAATGTCCTTTCAGCAAATCCACCCCATGTTTCTGAGACAATAGGTGCTGCAGTAGAAAACAAACCAATTCTATTTCGTTTCCAAATAATAGATCATAATTTTAACTAACTACTTGCCTTGTTGTGGTCTTTGCAAAATGGAGGGCAGAGAGGGAACAGCTCACTCTGACCAAAATGTAGGGGAAGTTTATAAGGTTGAGTAGTATCTGCACAGGTTCCAAGTAGTATCTGCACAGGTTCTGACTCTGCCGCTTGTCCGTCACTTAACCTCTTTGGGTTTCAGTTTGCTCCTTTGTGAAATGCGGAGATTGGAGCCTATCGCCCCCACAGTTCTACCCAGCCCAGCATCCCCTTATTCTGAGGCAAGTGAGGCTAAAACAAAACACAATTACTTAGTGAGACAGACACAAATGAGAACTATTGAGCTGTTGAAGATAACTGAGAGGGAGCGGATGGGGATCCAGAGACATTGATTCATTGCCTCTGCCTCCAGTTCTCCTGCGGATACCAGATAAACCCTGAGCAGGGATGACGCTAGTCCTATTTTCTACCCCCAGCACCCAAGTAAGGTAAATTCCACTGGCAGATAATACATCTGCTAAGTGAATTTTATTTGGAAAATGATGTCCTCACTGGGCATCTCTGTTGAAAGATAATTAGAGCACTGCTCACTAAAATGAACAGAATCGGGGCCTCCCTGGTGGCGTGAGGGTTAAAGACACAGGGCTATCAAGCCATTGGCAGCCACTATGGCCTGAGTTCATCCCAGGCCAGGGAGCTACCCACATGGTGCAGCAGACCTCTCCTGTCTCCCCACTGCTCCGCTCAGCAGTGGATTTCAGTAGAGCTGCCTGCCCTGCTCCCCACTCTGTCTCTGGTAAATCTTCTCACCCCCTGACCTCTGGCCTACACCCCAGTTCTTGTATGTGTAAATAAATAAATCTTTAAAAATATAAAAATAAAAGTAAATAAAAAAATAAAATTAAGAGAATGATTTGCTTGGCCTGAAGTACACAAGACAACTAGTTGTTTAACGGCTTTTAAACTTTAAATTCCGCTTTGGAAATGTGCTCTGGGTCTCAGTTTACCTCACTTTGCACATCCTCAATTTTCTGTCTTGTACATTACTTTGTCTCCTCATGAAGTTTACATTTTCTGATCAATAATTGTATACGGAATTCACTGACAGCCTTGTTTTTGTGTGGGTTTGTTGGAAGAAAGAGAAAAGGCAAACTCGTGACTGATCAATATAGAAAAGGGACTCTTGTTCTGACCAGGGCTATTTTTAACCTTGATTCTGTGCATTTACCCCCTTGGTGCTTTCTACCAGGGGAACACCTGCTTCTCCTTTGTAAAATTTTTGTAAAATTCATATGAAAGCTCTATCTGCTATTGTACTTCAGAGGCGCCGCTAGTCTACACAACAAAAGCTGAGCCTCAAACAAAACTGAAAATAAAACGCAGAACTGCAGAAAAACATTTCATAATTTTTTCTAAGAAATAGTTATAATTTATAAGATAACTGTTATAATACAATAGTGAACAGTAAATTTGTGTTGCTAAGTTGTCAAATAATTTTCAGCTGCATTAATAAGAGTTTGTTGTTGTTGTTTTTGATTTGTTCACTTTTTACATCCAATTTTTGAAATTCCATTACAGAGTAGAGTTGAGATGGTTAATGGAGTATTGGTGATCCACAATGTGAATCAATCCGATGCTGGGATGTATCAGTGTGTGGCTGAAAATAAACATGGAGCCATTTATGCAAGTGCTGAGCTGAAGATTCTAGGTAAGCAATTTCTAAGTAAATAAACAGAAAAATAGGGCTGCTTCTTTCCATGCTCTAAGACTTACTACACTGAAAGTTTTATGATGTGATTGTAAAAACCTATTTTATGTCTTGAAAAGAAGAAATGTCTTGCTGATATACTTTTTTGTAAGCTTTAAGGGACAAGTTTATATTGTGGATAGCTTGTCCCACAACTTTTTTATAAGGTTTTTCTAACTTTAGGTTTAGTCTTAAAAGATGTGCACACTCTGTCTTTTCTCTGACATTTAAAAAATCTGTAGGGAATATATGTTAGCTTTCAAGGTAGAACGTCTTGAGGATAGCAGATAAGAATGTGCATTTCCCAGCCTCTCCTGCTTCCCTGCTTCCAGAGCAAAACTTACTATTTCCCCCAAGCAGCCACTACCTACCAGTCACTGTGACTCCTGCCAGACAAGACTCCAGGGTCAAGCACCCTTCCACTGTGGGGGTCAACCATGACAGTCCTCACACACCAGGGAAAGCCTCTGAGGCCAGTCCAACATGATCCCAGTTTACACTCGATATACCTGCAGCAACCGACCAAGTAATGCAGCAAAGATTCAAGCAGTGGAGTAGAATACCCAGACTAACCATAATCTTGGAACATAAGAATGGATTTTCCATTTTCCTTCTGGAGATTTCCTAAACTTTGGGACTTGGGATACAAAAAAAAAACTTTTAAAAACACGATGCTGTTTGTACTCTCGAGGTCCGGGATCGTCCCTTCAAGAGTTGTAACTACACCACACCCATCACCCAAGCACCCGAGTTCACCCCATAGTCCATGGTCCTCCCTCCCCCTCCCCTTCCAGTAGCCTCAGTTCCACAGTTAGATTTCTAGGGTTTGTGATTAGTTTGGTTTTAGCTGACCCTTTGTTTTGTTTTTCTGTACCCCACATTTAAGTGACCTCATTTGGGGTTTGTCTTTCTCCTTTCTACATATTTCACGTCTGATAATCTCCTCCAGGTAGTCACAAATGACAAGAGTTTGTCTTTTTTGTAGCTGTGTTTGGGCACTGTAAGGAGCCGGAATGACCACAGTGCAGGTTTTCGGATCCCATGCAGACCGGGTAAAGGAGGAGTCAGAGTCCTCAGTGGTTTTTTGCAGGTCTTTTATTGGGGTTCACCAGGCATATGGCAGGCAGGGATGCTGGGGGGTCAGGAGGCTGGCAGGCCTCCAAGCCCCCAGCAAGTCTTCACTCTGTCTCTCCGGCCTTCTCTCGGCTTCTCTTTCGGCTTCTGCTGCTGCTGGCGTCCCCGTGACGCCGCCCTTAAAAGCCCAATCTCAGCCCAGGTGAATCCCATCTACCTAGGCCCACACCCCACTCCAGGTGCCGCTATCAGGCCTGCACTCAGGACCGCAGGGATCCACCCTCTATCCTGATGGCGGGAGGGCAGACAAGCCTGACATTTTTCCGTACCCTACAGGCACTTAGCTTGTTTCCATGGGTTGGCTGCTATCAACAGAGCTACGGTGAACACAGGAGTGTACATTCCATTCAAATAGCTGTTTTTATGCCCTTCAGGTATATGCCTCGTAGAATTGCTGGGTCATATGGCGGGTCTGTTTGTAGTGTTTTGAGAACCCTCCATACTGTCTAGCATAGATCGTTTACAGTCCCATCAACAGTGTGAGAAGGTTCTTGTTTTTCTCTCTCTTTTTTTCTGTGCATCTTCCCAGCACTTGCGGTTTCTGGTCTTTTGGATGCTGTCCATGGCCACAGGCGCCAGGCGGTAGCTCATTGTCATTTTGATTTGCATTTTGCTCAGGTTTCAGGTGAATCTGGAAAGGTCATTCACATAATTGCTACAGTAACCGGTGCAGGGCCTTCCGAGCACCGCGGATCTGACTGGGTAGTGAAGGGCTTGTCGGAGGCGATACACCCATGTTGCTTTAGACTCTACGGCCTTGCGCACGGGGTCGTCTAGCCCGCGTTGGTGCACAAAGCACGCGGGAATGCGAGCCCGGGGCGTGAGCCCGGGGCACACTCGCCCACAGGTGTGGACAGCCGGGCGGAGAACCAGGGGGGCCGAGAGCACGCCCGGGAGCGGAGGGAGAGAGGAGGATCCGGGAGGTGGGGCGGGGCTGGCCGCCAGCCTTCCCCAGGCTCACGCCTTCCTCGTGCCCGCCCCGCCCGCCTCTGCCCGCTCCGGCACCCCCGAAGGCGCAGCGGCTCCGAGACTCAGTGTCCTGCGCCCGAAGCGCGTGGACCCGCCGCGCCTCTCGTGGCCCCGCGCCGTGGGAGGAGCGCGCGGGCCTTGGCGCCTTGGCCAGGGCCGTGGGCAGAAGCGCTGGGCGGCGGCTGCGCGGGCGCGTGGGCAGCAGCTGGGCGGCCGCGATGAGCCGGCGGGGTGCGGGAGAGACCCCGAGCCCAGGCCGGGAAAGCCCAGAAAGGTAAATATTTGTGGGGGCCCGCACCCTCCTGGCGCCCCGGCCTCCCCGCCGGCCCCGCAGCCGGTTGCGCGCTGCAGGCGGCGCCGAAAGATGGGCCAAAGCCTGGACGAGCCGCGCGGGCGCCAGGACCCTCCTTTACTCACAGGCCTGAGTGGACGGCGCTGCTGCCCGGCCGCCGGCACCCACCCCGCAGCCCTGGCTGTCCCTGCAGACGCCCCCGGAGGGTGAGGAAGAAGAGTCAGGCTCTCTGCCCTCCCGCCGTTAGGACAGGTGGGAGCCCTGCGGGCCCAGGTGCAGCCTGAGGGCGCACCTGGAGCGGGGGCACCTGGGCTGGGAGGCCGAGTTCACGCGGGACACGCCCTGGCCCTCTCTGGGCCTGGCTCGCCAAGGCACGCGCGGGGTGACGGGCACCCCCGACCTTTGCCAGCCCCGGGGCAGGAGGCAGAGGCAAGAGGAGAGGCCACGTCTGTGCGGGAGCCGGCCAGACCTGAGCCCCTCCGAGGTCCCGCCTGGAGGTGCCAGGGCCCCTGGTGCCACCCCACGCGCCCTCAGGCCACGACGGGAGTGCGGGAGGGGGCCCAGCAGAGGCCGGGCCCTGAGGGCACCTGAAGAGCAGGCAGCAGGTGCCCGGACATGAGCGGTCCTTCAGGGGAAATGCTGAGAACCGAGAGAGGAGGCGAAAGCCAGAAATTAGCCTTGGGTTCCGGCAGCTGGACCAGTTGGCAGAAGAAGAGCAAGAGGAGGCCGGGCAGAAACTGAGTGAGCATCAGGGGTCGTTCCCACCGCACAGGGCGCAGAGGCGACACCGGGCAGAGGTGCCACGGGGTGTGCAGCTGCTGTGGACAGGCCCGCGGGGCCGCCAGACTCCCCCATCCAGCTGAGGAAGGAGGGTGTACGCAGGGGGAGGCCAGCACCACAGCGCTGGGCTCCACAGACAGTGACAGAAATTTAAAGAGAACGTTGGACATTCCTCGGGTTCCCAAACAGCGCATCCCAGCCTGCTTGTCTGCCAGGAGAGAAGTTTAACTCTGGTGAGGACAAAGCAACAGTTCGTGGTCACCCCCAGCGACATCCAGGTGCTCCCACTGGCCTGGCCTCTGACGGGCTCCAGCGGGTGGTGGCATTTCTGGGAAAGGAAGGACAGGTCTGCTTGCGCGGGGACGCAGTGTCGCATGTGAACAGAAAACAACCAGGGAGAAGCCGCCTCCCATTCACTGGGCCGTGCAAGTGTGTGGCCAAGCTGTGGCTAGTGGGTGTGGAACGACCCCTTTGCGGGAAGGGGGGAGAGGATCGGCCCGTCCAGCTGCAGAGAGGTGGCTGGCTGGCTGCCGCGTGGCTGTTCCACCTTCAGGAGCGGACAGAAAAGTCCAGAGGGGCCGGCACTTGCCTGTCCTGGGAGCTGGGAGAGATTCCTCTTGCAGCTGGATGCAGCCTCCCCAGCTGGATGCATTTCCCGAGTCCCGAATCCTGACTTCTGTGTGGGAGAGACTCTGTCCCTCACACAGTCTTTGCGGTCACAGACTCAAAGGGCAACCTGTGACTTGCTTTATTTTCTTCCTCAATTTGTAGACAATGCTGTGTGACTCTCAGTAAATGTAGCATTTTTTTTTTTTTTTTGGAAATGCTTATCTGACTTTAACTTAAAGATCTTTTCATTTTTGTTTAGTCCATTGTTTCAAGTGGGAACTTACAGACATGGGGATTAAATCTGCAATATTGCTGGAATTCTAACATTGGAGTAGCTAACATGGTAATTTCACAACTTCAATAGATTCGAACATCTACATTAAAAAACTGAGAAATATCTATGAATTGGTATGAATTGGTATAAATGAATGTCTCAGAGTAGAATTGCAGATGCTATGCTTTTCAGATTCACGCGTAGGCTGGAGTCTTGCTAAAAGTATAATAAAACAATTGGAATGTTAATATATGGTTGGAACTAGTGAGTAACTGCAATCAATGAAATAAAATTTTGATAGAATTTTCATTACAATTGAAGTTGATAATCACAATTGAAACATTTTTTTTTCAAACAGCCTTTGTCTGTGAGCCCACATTGAAATAATAGCCAGTCGAATATGTTGTTAGTAAGATGCTAAGTTTTAAGCTGCAGTGCCTTTGCCATGGATACATACACTATGATTTTATGAAATGTGTCCCAAAAGAAAACATTGTGAAATCGTGATGAATCATCCATTAGACCTTGGTCATTACTTATGTAAAACTTTCTCTTTTAACAGCTTCAGCTCCCACTTTTGCATTAAATCAACTGAAGAAGACAATCATTGTTACCAAAGGCCGCGACGTCTCCATAGAATGCAAACCCCAAGGTTCTCCAAAACCAACCATTTCTTGGAAGAAAGGAGACAAAGCCATTAGAGAGAACAAAAGGTTAGGAATTTCTTTCATAATTCGATTCGTAAAGCATGTAAGAGTCTTGAGAGATATTTAAGGAATTGATTGAAATACACTTTTGTCTTGATTTCAGAAGAGCCCAAAGTTCTGTTTCAGTATGGTCAGACTTCCTTGCCTCCTCGGTGTTCCAGCACCAGCTGGGAGTTTCACAGGGTTACAAAGAAAGCAAATACTTCCATTAAGCTAGTTATTTTTGGTTTTCATTTAGGTGTACATATTTGGGCATCAGTCCACAAGTTATCTATGATCATTTTTAAGAGTTACATTTTCATTTCAACATTAATTTTGTAAATAATATAAACATACCCTGGGGTTTTCTGGTAACCACTTTATCATGAAGTATGTCCAAGTGCTATCCGTGCCTATGTCGCCTTCTTGTTTTTAATCATGTTGATGCAAAATAGTATAGGATTGCTTTTATTGCCACAGGAAAATGAGAAATGTTCAGGGTAATAGTTAATGTGTAAATATTTGTCTTTGGCAAGTAAAGCCAAAAGAATCACAATTGTAGAAATGATGAAAAGTGATTGAAGAATCCAGTCATAACCAAGTCTTTGTAGGCCAAATTTGAAAAGTCTATGCTCCACCAATCACTGACCATATTGGTGCTGCAAATAATGATTCTACTTTGACAAAATAACGTCCTCCAGTATGTTAAAATAATGTTGCATATTATTTTTTAGAGGATTTTTTTCCTTGGATCTACATGGATACGGAATTTATACCTTGTCATGTATTTGTCGTGTTATCATAGACATATATTTATCCGTTATGTTACTTATATATAATTAGATAGCTAAAATGATTTAAGAATGATTTAAGTCAGCATCGGGGGTCTGTTTGAACAGTTCTCTGGGTAACTGTGGGATATTATGAAATATTTGAAAATTTTCTTTTGAATATTTTTATTTCCCAGTCAAGTGTGAGAAACACTGATTTAAATGACCTATTGCAGATGAAATAATTTGTGGAATAATTGGGTTCATTTCAGGCCAAAGTATATATGCTACCTGGATAAGGTGATCATGTAGAATTACATGGTCATGCTAGACATTTATTTTCAAAGAATTCTCTTTCTTGCCGAGGGTGGGAGCACAAATCACAAGTGAGATCAGTGTTGCATGTGGTTGAATTGCGATATTTTGAATTACCATTCTTAGAAATATGAGGGAGAAAAGAAAAACCTGTTACAAATCTTATTAAAGTAGAAAAAATTTGTATAGTGAACAACAACAAAAAAAATTATATTGCTTGGTTATTGTTTTCCTAGAATGTATTGAAAAATTTTATATCATCAAAATACATATCCAGACCAGCGCAAGCCATTCCTCTTTTAAGTACATTACACTGCACTGTGCTTATGGGGAGCATGCGAGCCTTGTCCTATTTCTTTCAGCTCAAGAGAGAATGTTCTCCATCAATTATTCATAGTTACCACATTATAAGTTAAAATAAATCGGTGATATCTCTTTTGTCATAGCAAAAGTATTGAGAGAAAGCAAGATTATGAGTCTACTATTACAACAAAGATGAACGTGATAAACCTTTTGTTTTCTAGAAGTTGAAAAACAGAGTTTGTGTATTTTCTAGTTTTCTTGTCCCCCTTACTCCTCAGTGCTAATCTCTTTCCAGATGTAAATATTCTGGTCAAAGTGTCAGTCAAGAAAGAGGTTAAAGTGTGAAGTATTTGTATTTTCATTTTATTCATGCAAAAGCAAACTAGTCCACATTTACTTAGCATTTTGCCTATCCTTATCTCTATGTTTAGGTCTGTAAACTGGTTTATTTGCTAACAAAGTCCAAAAACTTTTTTATTAGAAAAAGTTTTTTTATTAAAAAATTATTAATTTTTTATTATTAAAATGTCACACACATTTGCCAAAAAAAAAAAAAAAACATTATTTGTGGTGTATGATTTGTTGCCATACTGGACAGGCCAGGTTTCACAAAGAGAACAATCTTGTTGAATTAAAAAAAAATGAGATCAAGATTTATGTAACAATGAAAAGAATTCCACAAAGCATTATAAGAAGACATAGAAAGCTATTTGGAAACTCTGCATTCTAAAAATATAAATGGAAACTTAAGTTTCCAATAAATCTTTGAAATTCCTTAAAATCGATCTCAATTGCACTTGACAACTAATTTTTTATAGAAATTTTAGATTTCCTTTCTGCTGTGAAGCACACCAATCATTGTAAATTCAAATGAAAAGGGAGTTGTCAAAAACCTGGTAAGGCTTTGCAAATTGTTATCATGTATATTGCACAATGGAGCTACAGATTTAAATCATGGTTTATTTTATTGAAATTACATATAATCATATGTTCCCCATTCTCTCAACCTACAACTGGGAAAAAATGTTAAATGAATTAGCCTTCTCTTTTCACAATCTTCACAATTACTTTCAATTCTTTCCAAATTAAAGATTGAAACACTAAGTGACAGCTCCCTATATGGGCAAATAAAGACTAGTATTATATAAAATTGTATCCAGCATAAAATTAGATCCAGAGCAATGGCATAAAATGCAATAGACAATTTTAATTCTAGAATGAATGTCTTGTAGTCACCTAAAAACATGCCACAAACTCAGAAAAAAAATAAATTTCTATCTAGAATTAACCACAATTTGACACTACAGCACAAATGCATTGTTATAACTGATGGGTGATAGACAATCAGCCGAAAGCCAAGGAACTCATTGGCTCACACTTTTCAGCCAAAGTTTGACTGAATCATCCAGGTTTGGTTTTGTTTATTTGGGATGAGATCTGCAAACACAGTGTCTTTGGTATTTTTCACGAAGTGCATAAATCACTATCCTACAGTTTAAAGTTTGATAAGTAATAACTAGAACATAATAGGACTTTTAATTAAAAAATCTAACAAATGAGTTGACTGCTTATATATTACAAAAGATTACAACCATTTGGCCCAAAATGGTACACCTAAAGTCTGTATGAATATGGATTACACTGGAACTTGGTTTGTGGTCGCTTGTTACTCATCTTACAGGATGAGTTGTTTCTATCAGAGAATGGTCAGCGTGACTGCTGCTCAAACAGTAAACCATGTTATTGTTAATGATCATGGCTGCTTTTATGTCTACAGAATTTATTGTTTACAGAGCACTTAAAAGATTTTGAGTTACATTCTAACCCAGTATATAAAATAGGACCTGACTGCCTGCTTATCCTGTAGACTAAGGGATATGAACAAGTTACTTAATTTGTTTTCTTGTAAAATTGAAATTCAACGGAGCAACCTCCTCAGGTTGTAAGGACTGAATGAAATTCTATATGTAAATCACATTGACTGATGTTGCTACTTAGTGGTGATCAGTGACTATCACCTGGATGACAGTGTAGCTACTGTGGCAGAGTAATATGGTGGCGGATGGTGGTATGATGGTGGCATTATTGCAACCCCTAAGTCTTCGAATACTGGCTTCAATTTCAAAACATTTTTGCCAATCCTCTTTGCCTCTCCAGGAGGCAAAGAGAAAGAGGAGGTGAAAGAGGTTAAAGAGAAAGATACTTAAGATTTAAATTATTATTTGGTATTAAAGCAATCTCTAGGTTTGCTGTGTGATACACTTGTTATTTATTAATCTTTGTCCCTCAATTGACATTGTTTTGGTCCCTCAGAGCCCCAAACGTCCACTTGCCATTTTTCCCTAGCATGTCTGTTCTCTCAGCCTTACCTCCTCCCAGTTCAGTATCTTCAGGATCGTTTCTGTACTAGGAAGTTGGATATTTACTTGTTCCATGATCAGCATCATAGATCATGCACAGATTGCTCTCTTATTTTTTTTTCTTTTAAGAGTCTCTGGATTTTGCCTCATCATTTGTAAAGATCAACAGCATGTTTCCGTTTGGTTTCCTTTATCTGTCATGCCCATTTTTGTACTAAAACTAACAAGTTTCAGGAGAACTAAGATGTGAAACGTTCCTTAGGGATTTTCTCCTCTAGTCTGCTTTCTTTCTCGACGTTCTGCTCATCAAATGCATATTGGATTTTCACTTCAGCTCATTATTTCCATTACTTGGCCATTAACTTTTGTTAAAATATAATCACCCAGAAGCACTCCAGCAGTGCACAAATATTAAGCCTTCATTAGTGATGTTCAATTTCCTGCACTTTCTGTGGACAATCTTGGCTAAAATGAAGAATATGTGATTTTCAGCAAAGGCATAGTTTGTTTTTTTTTCCTTTATAGCTGCACATATATAACTGTTATTGAGCCACACAAAATAACCATGTATGTTTAAAAATTATGCATGATTATTGAAATTTCGAAGTAGTTTAAATACCAGTTTGCATTGCTTGACGGAGGGGGTACCAGTTACAGGGATAATGGACTGTAACTCAAATGGGCGCTGAAGAAACCCTGCATTCAAAAAATAAAAATGATCCTATGGCAGGGCAGTATTATAGCACAATTTTTTCTTTTATGGAACTATAATCTACATTAAGACTTGTCCAAAGTCCCTTCTAATATTCCCTTGCTCACCAAGGAGCTTCACAACAGCGAAGTTTTCAACTTACTCATTTAACACGCACAGAAAATTGCACTTGAAGTACCCATTAGTCGACTTCTAATGGGAATTCATGTTGTGTTTATTAGGCAACAATGATCAGGCTCACACACTGACTCACAGACATATGGAAAAATATATTCTCAGCACAAGCCCTGAAGGACACTCTTACTGAAGGGAAAAGTCTTCTTGCTTTTTCTAAGGAAGAGGAATTCATGGGTATAATTAGGGTCTTGTTTCTGTCCCTCTGCTTCCACCTCCATGCTGCGTTAGCTAATGAACAAGCTGTTCTGTTGTTTCCTTTGTGACAATGTCTTTTACATATTAAGAACATAAAACAATGTAAACCCTAGGTATCTTGTTTGCTTTTTTCCCCTGTACTAGGAAATTGTGTAATGAGGGGAAATAAGCATGCATAAATCAGGAATTTATCAG